CAAAACACACTGAGGCGTCAGGTACCAGGCAAGACTAGAAACTGGGGGATATTACACACAGCATGCCTTTTTAACTCTGTCTCAGAGACATGGTGGTGGAGGTAGGGCTGTGGGAATTGAGAGTGTAGGAGTAGATAGACCTGATATCAAGCTGTGGGATGCAGCCTTTCAGAGGGACCAGAATCTTAAAGGCGCAGGCCTGTGATCTCATGGGATCCACTTTTGAAAATTTCCAACATTGTTGTATGTCAATCACAGCACATTACTCTCTGGCCCCATTACTGGGTTCTGGCTTCTCACCTGCCTTCCCAGCCTCCTCCCTAACTCTCTTCTCTCCCCTGTATTACTGTGTTGGCCGCAGCTGTCTCTTGCTTATTCAAGTTGGTTTTCCTTGAATGAATCAGATCACGTAACTTCTGCCCCCAACCTGCTGGTAGCCTTCGTGGCGGCTGTCAGTTTGACATAATTGGGAAGACAGAACCTCAACTAAGGAACTGCTCCATCAGACTGTTGTGTGGGCATATCTGTTGGGCATGTTCTTGATTGCTAGTTGATGTAGGAGGGTTCAGTCCAGTGTGTGTGGTGCCAGCCCTGGACAGGTGGTTCTGGGTTGTGTAAGAAAGCTAGCCCAACACAAAGAGGAGGAAGCAACCCAGTAAGCATTCTCCATATTTTCTGCCTCAGTCATTCCTGGAGAGTGCCTGCCTTGGCTTCTTCCCTTGAGGATGAGCTATAAATCCATGAACTAAAATAAACTCTTTTTCTCTCCAAATTGTTTTTGCTTTTTGTTTTTGTTTTCTCACAGCAATAGAAAGCAAAGACCAGCCTCCAGTACTGTGTAGAAGAGCCTGTCCTTGCTTGGGCCTTTTCTGGACAAGTACAGGCTGCCTTATATGACCTTGCCTGGCCTATTCAACCTACTGTTCCTACTGTGGCACTCCTGTTCCCCTCCCCACAGCCTTATTGTATTCTAACCTGCCTAAACTTTAGTCATTGGTATGTGCTCAGGCTCTCTGTGAAGGTGGGGGTTCTTTGTCTCCTGTGGTGTTCTGAGTGTAGCCATATTCATTGACATTGGTGGAATGGATGAACGAACCTCCATTTATCCTGCTCTGATCCTATGCGAAAGTAGTGATGTCACTAGGAAGAATGCCACAACTAATAGGACACTGTCCTATTCACCTGCCATGTTGACTGACAGTTTTGTGGATGACTTTTTGGGGTTACAGTGGCCATCTGTTGGTGGGCTGCACTCTAACCCAAATCTGCTTCTCTTCTTCCACTGGTCCCTCTCTGAGGGCAAGCCTTATTTATGTTATATCTAGAGCCAAGAATGGAGACCCTCCCGCGCCCCATTGCCCTCCTCGCTGTTAATCATTCTTCACAGCCTTTTGATTCCAATTGGTAGACATCTTCATTTGCTACTCCATGCCTATTGTCCTCCACATGCCTGTTGCCCTTCCCATTACCGTGACTGCTTCTGATTAATGAGCACAGCTCCCTGCCCTGCTCACTCTGGCTTACTTGTAGTCAGAAGATCTGTCTATGAACTCTCTTCTGTGAATTCACAGGGGTCTCTGTTGAACTGCCTGCTTTTGCTTCAGGCTGTGGTCCTGTAGACACTACTGGGTACTTCCTTGCTCTCTGCTCACTCCCTGCTATGCAGCATAGGACTCCCCATTGGGGTCCAACCTGCTCTTTCAGGGTCCCCACCCCCACCCCAGCCTTTTCACCTGTAGTTCCAAGCTTTTCTGTACCAACCCACCATAAGCTGAGGCAATTCCAAGCCATCCCAATCCACCCCAAGCTGAGGTAGCAGGTCACCCCAAGCCATTGTGGTGCTCCACAAGCTCTGGTGACGCACAGTCACCCCTGGGAATCTTGCGACACCTGGGAATCTGAAAGGCCCACTGCACCCTCCAAGAGCTATGCTTAGAGGCCAATTAAATCCACAGTAGCAAGTGGTTCCCTGCCAGTTCCTCTTCCTGCCTCAGCACAGTCAATACCCTCCTTCCCTCCCAGGGGCTGAGGAAGCTGGAAACAAAATGGCGGCAACGCCTCCTCGGGAGCTGTCCAGGGTCACTTGCCTCAGTCTGTGGGAACTGGACCCCTCTCCTGCCTCAGAATGCCTGCTGCGCTGCCCATGGGGGGTGGCCATGATAAGGACTCCATTTCCTGTTTTCCTGCTTCAGTCTACTGCCTTCACAGAGAACTCTTTGTAAATTTTGGACACTTTATATTCTGTATAACCCCTCAAGGCAGACCAGGCCTTCGCCCGAGGAAGCTCCAGCAGCCTAGCCCCCTCCTCCATCCCCACCCTGGAGACCTCTGTTCAGCCCTTCAGTAGGACTTATCCCATATTATGCAAATTTGAAGTGAAAAGACTGGACAAAAACCCACCAACCCCTAAGCACGAAAACTGATCTAAGCCCTAAGCTTCCCACAAAAATTGACCAGTCTCTGAGCAGGAAATCTGACCAATCCCTGAACAGTAAAGCTCAAGCTTCACACAGTTCAGGACTTGAAATCCTACCAATCCACACTCTGGAAACCCCTGCTTCAGAAAGCTCTGCTCCTAAGAATTCCTATATAAAGGAATTCTTTAATATAAAGTGTACTGTGTTTGCCCCGGTTCCCCAGTTCCCTGCTGCCTTCTCCCCAGAGCAGTGGCAGCTACTGCTGGACTCATCCTTCCTCTCGTGGATTTGTCCCTTCAATAAATCTCTTTTAAGATATTTTCTGCCTGCTGTGACTCACTCATCAGAGGGAGAAGAGAAGAAAGAAGAAGGAGCAGAGCTCCAGTTCCTAGGCTCCTCAGCTCATTAAGGGTTGGGGTAACCCTCTCCTGGGAGCTGCAGTGTCTCTGTTGAGGAGGCCTCCTCTCAGAGCTGTGTGGTTCCTGGGCTCCTGTGCCTCAGGATACCCTTGGGACTCTGTCCCACCTCAGAGCTTGGATACCTTCCCACTATTCATATCTGTGACTCAGGTTTATGGCCCTGGGAGTTCTGAGTGGTCTGGATACCTTCCCACCCAGTCAGGAAGGCAGGCCAACCAATACATGAAAATAAATCTCTTCTGTTCTTTAGTTAGGGTATGTCTTTCTTTTTAGTGAGGCCTACTGTGTAAATGCAGGTATAAGTCTGTGCCATTGGCCCACCTGCTCTGTTTCCTGTGAGAGGCCACCTCAAATGGCTGCTTTTTGTCTTCATGGTTTGTTTCTTTGTGCTAGGTTGGACATCTGTCCTTCTATGATCCAAAGACATGTCACCAAGATTGAGCCAGTCAAAACACAGTACACTCAAGCAGATACAGCAGGAAGGGAATGGCGCTCAGGCTCAGTATAGCTTTGTGCTCCAAGTCGACACTATTGCTATACTTAAAGCTTAGTCAGCTGAGGCACGCAGACGCAGAAGCTGAGCATTTTAGCCGGCGGCACAGTCCATGTCTTAGTTCTTTGTTTACCCGGCAGGGAATGTCTGTACTGCCTGCTGCCGCTGCTTCTCCTTCTCCGCCCTGGCCTGTCTGTGTCAGGGACATGCTCAGAGCTGGGTAGAAGACTGTCCCCATTGACTGGACGAGGCCCACCAGACACCTGGGGTTAGCTCTACCTGAAGGCGGCATATTAGCAACTTTTCTGTGCTATAATCTTCTTCAGTGAGTAGTAAAATGCTCACAGGTTCCAGGAAACAGAGGAAAGGCATTCTCAGGTGAAGGACTATTCTGCCCACAACACACTTTAAACACTTTTAAACATGAACGAAATAAATTCCCAACTTCAGAATCAGAAAATTGCACATCTGTTTAGATGGCTCAGTAGATAAAGGTAATTGCTACCAAGCCTGACCACGAGTTCAGTCCCTGACATATCATGGAAGGGGAGAACCTATTCCTGCAAATTGTACTCTTCTCTGCTTGTACATTCTGGCATGACCCCTCCAAATAAACAAATAATTTAATGTAAAAAATAAATACTTCAATAATAAGGTGGAAAACCTTGGTAGCAGGAACTGAATCAAACAAGTGACTTTTGTTTTTATGTCTGTACTGTTAGGGATTAACTCCAAGTCCTTCTACATGCTGGGTAAGTGGCTTGTCTCAGAGCTCCCCACTAAACCCCTTCAGCAAGCAATCTGAATTTTCACTCAGATGGGGTCCCGTGTGCCCATGCCTTCTGATGCCACCTACTGGGGAGGGCACATTACTCCTCCTTCTGGGATACTCCTGCTTCAAATAGAAAGCTTGACCCTAATCCAGTGGAAATACCAGATCATTTTGTCCTGAGACACAGTTGAGCACGAACCCTTGAGATACGTGAAATTCATGAGGATTGCATGACATCCACGGCCTTGGGTAAAAACAGCTCTGGGCCTTTTGGGACAATAGATGGGATTTAATAGGATTTCAGTATGCAGTGCTTTGTTTTTTTGGTACCTGCTGGAGTTAAAGGAGGCTATCCCTGTGTATAAGAAATGCTCTATGAAGGATTTAGGGAAAGAGGAAGGATGCTTGCTCTCAGATCGTTCAGGAAAAAAAAAAGGTAAAAAAAAAAAAAAATAAAGTGAACAGGGGAAATATGTAAAACATTTGGTGAATCAGATAGTTTTTCTTTTCCCATTTTCCCTCTTTTTTTTCCTATTGAGACAATTTTTCTATAAGTTTGAAATTATTTCAAAAGCTACTCACAAAGTTGAATTTTCTTGTAGGTTATTTAGAAGTGACAGTATAAGAACTAATATTTATAAGGTATGGGGAGGGGCAAAGAGGAGGGACGCGTCCTCTGATGCGAACAAGGACTTTAATTGCAGGCAGCCCCCCTCCCTGGCTGTGTCAGGAGCTGGAGTGACTCGTGCTGGTGGCACAGGGATGGCTCAGACCTCTTCCCTCCTTGCGGTGGAGTTTCGGAATCAGTCGTCATGACTCCTGTCCACTTCCTTCATCCTCACGGGCACCCTCCAGCAGCTGTGCGGCTCAGAGCATGCGTGGTGCTGCCACTAGAAGCCTCAGGGTCTCCCCATGAGGCACGGCTGGAAGTTCCAGTGCTCCTGGTAGTAGCGGCTTAGATTCTTTTTAGGGTATCCAGTTTGTATATTGTACGCAGTCAGCTCTGAAAGAAGGAAAGAATGCTGTTGGGTGAAGGAAGGCCTTTGAGCTGGCCTCAGATGGACTGCTGTGGTCATACCCCTCTTGGATGGGTTTCCAGATTCTGTGAGTTCCCTGGGAGCCGAAGCACACCGCAGCTTAGCAGGCCTGGTATTGTTCTGCATGGTGCCACTGGCAGCAGAACGTCTTGCAAAGCACAAGACATAGGAAACAGGAAACATGGGCTCATCCTGGCTTAGTCACAGTTGGTGCTTTTTGGTAGGCTGCTGCAATGTCCCTTTCCCAGTGTGGCTCTCAGTCTACTTGGGTGTGAGTGGGCCAGAGGGGCCCTCAGCTCCTCACCCTGATTTAAATAGAACAAGTACACTCTTGTAGGAGAATTTACCCCTCAGTGGGCTCCTGTTGGCCTGACTGATAGGTGGGTTCCACAGTGAGAAGGTGTGGGTGATCCTTATCTATCAATGGCTCCTGGGGGATAGGAGCCACCTGTGCACAGGATGAATTTTTCTCAATGTGGCTGCCTTTCTTCACTGTTTGTGCCTCCATTCTAGGTTGGACATTTGTTCATCTGTGACTCAAAGGCATGTTACCTCAACTGAGCTATGCTAGCCCACTAGCATTTTTAGGTAGTTGTCATTTGACATGCACCTGATTGGCTTTGGTGGGGGGACATCAGAGAGCAAAACTAATGTGGATCTGCCACTCTGGAACCAACATGGCTCTGCCAGTCTAGAGCTCCAAAGTAGCCTCCAAAGTAGAGATTAAAGAGAGTCACACAAAATGCACAGTCAAGACCACACCATGGTGCCCAAAGAGCATGTGTGTGTGGAAGGTCCTTTCCTCCCAGACCCGCTCCCCTTCTAATGCAATGCCCAACTTGAAAATGAATGGCTGGACTCGGACCCTGTAGTCTTCACAGTGTCCTCCGGCGCATGAGCACAGCTAACTCACATACCCATAAGGTCTGACCTTCAGTACAGAGCCCCCACTTCCCAGAAGCCAGTGTCAGGACCTCACTTTGGAACTCACCTTCAAATTCACTGCTGCTGGTGGAGTATTTCTTTTCTTGACCGATGACGGACTGTTTTTTAGTGTGCTTGAGATCTTCACTGCCTAACTCACTCTTCTGAGTCTGCTGACCTGACAACGACAATGCCACAGGGTGGAGGGTCATGTGGGAAGCCTCAGCCAGTCAGAGAAGTGAGGGCGTCGAGCCAGCGAAGAAGCCACACATAGGCAAGTGGGAATATTACGGCGTGGGGAAAATCAGAATCTGTTCGTCTTTTGAGCAGGTGCTGAACTTAAAAATACGTATTTTTTTTTAAGCATCAACTTTTCTATTTTTAAATGCAATGCATATCCACTACAAAAAAAGAAAGATGCTCCCAACTCCTCCCAGATACTGCTTTTCTCGAAGCATATTTTAACATAGCTTATCAGATTGTGTGTCCTATGTATCTAGTTCATTTTCTTCACATATATTATTACCATCTCCCCCATGTCACTATGTTAAAAAGTGGCAGTTCTACAGTATAGGTAGTTCAAGATTTATTTAACCAGTGGGCTATTGTTCTATGTTTATAGTTTTTTTTTTTCCTTCTAATTTTACAACTGTAAAGACAGTAAAAAACTTCAGGGACAGGCTAAGCTCTCTGGAGCAGGTGTGAGAGCTTTGTCATGGGCTATGTAACTCGAGTGGGTTGCCTCTGCTCACACATGCAACATGGTACCCTGGGTTTGGAAAAGAGTGCCCCCTTTAGAGCTGCAGTGCAGACTAGAAATGCTTGTCTCAGGTGCACAGTGGCATGATGGGAGATTCACCTAGAATTGAACAGTGCTGCACACATGTTCACAAGTCAGAGACTGAACATTATCATTATAACCTTGGGAAAGGGAGTTCGTATTTTTGAGGTTTTGTTCATTTTATTGTGACACTATTTTAAGAAACACTTTAAAAGCTCTCATGGGTTTCTGCATGTTCCCACCTTACCTTTGTCCAGTCTCATCTGTCAGTAGGACTGTGACAGACTGCCACCAGAACTCCGTCCTATCATGTTCCTGTGAGTATCAGTTTTGCCTATTCTTGATGATAATACTTTGTTTTGGTCTCTGAAATTGCTGGTTTTAACCCCTGTCTTTTCTGTCCTAGGCCATCAAGAATGCTGTGATACAAACTGGAGGCTGGAATACCTTCTCTTTTTCCCTCTCCTTCCCTGATACAGAACCAAGAGGTGGTGGTGGTAGGGTCCTCATATTTCAGAGGATGAACATGAGAAGGAATGGTGATGTGTCCTGGACTTCAGTGAGGAAGAAATACACACTTATGTTGTAAGCCAGCAGCATTTCAAGGCTTACAGATGTGTGCCCACTCACACTTTTTCTTTTAATGTGGTGCTATGATTGGACCTAGGGTTTCAGGCATGCAAAGCAAGTCCTCCTTCCAACTGAGCTCCAGCTCCAGCCCTTCAATCTCAATCCAAGAAGCTCTCAGGTGAAGCCATTGCTGCAAGACCACACTCCATACTTTAACTAGCAAGCTTGAGCTCCCTTGTCTATTGAGTTTGGTGCTAGCTACCTAACCTTTAGCTCATTTAGCTTGCAAAAAGTTTTTTTCACTCAAAAGATGAAGGACATATTTACAAAACTGCTCTTGAACCTAAGGCTAGGGAACATCATGGGAGAGGGGATGAAGAGATTGTAAGAGCCAGAGAGGGTCAGAGAATTGATTTATGCAGTTGTGTCTCCTAGTAATGTCAAAAGCTACACCCATAAAAACCTCTCCAACATGACCACCAAAACATGGAAGACACCAAAGACATGTCCAAGTGGATGGAAGAAAGCCCACAGACTCAACCCTTCAGATTCAACCACAGACTCAACTCAAAGAACTACAGGCAAATAAGGGATGCTGATAACTAGAAAAATGATCTTCCTCAGAGGAGAGCCAATTACTTATACTGTACCAAATGGTCAGCCCTGAAAACGTACATAGAAGTAACATAATATAGACTGAGCAGGTTGTACTTTTGTATTTAGGAATCTGTATGTATTTACTTATATGCAGATAACAATTAATGATAAAGGGACCATGAATATGAAAAATAGCAAGGAGGGCTACATGGAGGGCTTGGAGGGACAGAAAAGGAAGGTGAAAAATGATAATCCCAAAAAATAGAAGTGAAAAAATGAAGGGAGTCTAGGGTCATCTCGGGATGAGTGTGATAAATGCGTTGAGGCTTAGGGAGGCCAGGCAGGGTGTTCTTGTCTGGTACCTACTGTAGATTTGTGGCTGGCTCCCCTGAGTTTGACTGGGAACCTGGGAGCTCTCGACGACGGGTTCCTCACAGTCCCAACAGCATAAAGAGAAGATCTTCGAGGCCAGGTTTTGCTGGGTTGCTGTAGGAGACAAAAGAATGGGGACTATGGATTCTTGGATCTGAATTTCATGTATTTGTCAGAAATTATCTGTGACTGTCTGTGGTCAGGAAGTTGATGTTGGTTCTTTCTGTCTAAGTTGCTACTGCTGCTGTTGGTTTGTGTGTGCATACACATGTGTTCATGTAGAGCCCAGAGGGCAACATTCGCTATCTTGGTCAACCACTTATCTATCTATCTATCTATCTATCTATCTATCTATCTATCTATCTATCTATCTATCTGTCAACCACATATTTTTTTGAGATAGGGTCTCTCAGTGGACCTGAAACTTGCCAGTTTGGACAGAATGGCTAGTTAACAACTCTCAAGTATCTTTCTGTCTTTGCATTCCCAGTGTTGGGATTTCAGGTGTTCCTGCCATGCCTGAGTTTTTATGTGGATGCTGGGGTCTAGACTCAGATCTTTATGCTTGCATGGCAAGTACTTTGCTGATTTGAACCATTGCCTCGCCCAGGAGCCCTCTCTTAATGACATTTTTCATGTTCTGTAGAAAATTTCCTTACCCATAGAGAGAAAATGAAGGCTTTACTCTGCCAGCTTTGTTTGCAGTGGAATTCAACTGGTGTTGAATCTGAGATCAATTCACCAGACAAGGTTGTTTCCTGGATGAAGAGAAGACCACAGCTGAGAAGTGCTAGTCCTTCATCTCTGTCTACACTCCCGCAAGGACCTACTGCAGCAGAATCCTAGCTGTTGCAGAAGGAGACCACTGGTGATCAGGTTTCAGACAGCTCTCTGTGGTCTACCGAATTTCTAGGTACCTATTGGTGTTTTTTTTTTTTTTTTAAACTTCTTGAGCCTCATTCTTACTGTATCGAGAACAGGTGTGGTGGTTCCTACTTTACAGAAGCAAAGTGTTAAATATATGCAAGGTGACTCCTAGGCAGTAGCTTTGCAGTAAGTGCTAAGATACTGCTCATTTCATTTCTCCGTATCCCCTCCATTGCTCATTGCCTCCAAGTTATCCCAGTTCCCTGGTCCCACAGGCACATGTCAAGGAAATGTATAGTCATATAGGTTTAATTCCTGGCATGGACATTTTCCATGTGGCTTTGGTTACTCCCTCTCCCCTCAATGGTAAAAGGAAGTTAAGCTTGGTGATCCCTCAACAGGCCTTTCTTTTTTTTTTTAATTTTTTATTAATTACACTTTATTCATTTTGTATCCCCCCATAAGCCCCTCCCTCCTCCCCTCCCGATCCCACCCTCCCTCCCCTTTCTGCATGCATGCCACTCCCCAAGTCCACTGATAGGGGAGGTCCTCCTCTCCTTTCTGATCTTAGTCTATCAGTTCTCATCAAAATTGGCTGCATTGTCCTCTACCGTGGCCTGGTAAGGCTGCTCCCCCCTGAAGGGGAGGTGATCAACGAGCAGGCCAATCAGATTATGTCAGAGGCAGTCGCTCTTCCCGTTACTATGTAACCCACTTGGACACTGAACTGCCATGGGCTACATCTGTGCAGGAGTTCTAGGTTATCTCCACGAATAGTCCTTGGTTGGAGTATGAGTCTCTGGGAAGTTCCCTGTGTTCAAATTATCTTGTTCTGTTGCTCTCCTTGTGGAGTTCCTGTCCCCTCCAGCTCTTACTATTTCCCACTTCTTACATAAAATTCCATTCACTCAACAGGCCTTTCTTATGCCAATGGTATAAGAGTTTAAAGTCTTGTTTTAGTCCCAAACTTCTTTTATATATATCAGACTTTTTAGACCTCTAGATATGCCCCATTATTGCTCTGTGCCAAAACTTCTTTTTAGGGAATTGTGACCAGAGTATTGATTAGGTGTCTGTTATCATACCCAAGTCACCATGTGAGATACCCCTCCTCACTGGCCCTTGCTTTTTTTGACTGCTGTATTGGTCACTGCTACCAACATCACTTGTATGAGTTATTTCAATAGTCTCCTAATTGGTAACCCTGTTTCTTTTACCATTAATGATTAATTAAAAACCTAGGATTCTCATGTTAATCTTATATAACACTTCTATTCAATATCTCCAGTGGCAGAAAGAAAAAGACATAATAGATAAAGAAATATAGTGTTAGAGAAAGCAATGGCAATCTTGAAATAGTAGGCATTCTAGTTCTAAAAACCAGCAGTTGGAGCCTGAGAGATGACTCAGTGAGTAAAGGTCACTCGCCTCCAAGACTGACAGTCTGATTTCAATCCCCAGAGCACACATGGAAGAAGAGAGCCAACCTCCACAAGCTGTCCTCTGATCTCTACATGTATGACATGCCACGCAGTGTTTGTTCCTGTGTGTGTGTGTACACAAATATACACAAGTGTACAGAGATATATATACACATACAGGACACACATTCAACACACACACCCAAAAGTAGCACCTGAAAGAAAAATGTAGAGAGTATGATTAACAACAAACATAACAGTAAAGATATAGTGAATCTCAAGGGATAAAAAGGACAATAGAAGTTACACAAGAGGAAGTAGAGAATGAAAAGAGTTTTGAAAGAGTGAGGAAAACAGTAGTAAGTGAACTGAGAGATGCTGCGCAGGTGAAATGTTCAGGAGGGAGGGAGGTGAGGCAAGGGAAGCATTTGAAGCATGAATGACAGATTTCCTCTCCCCCAAGTCTGATGAAGTAAACTGATATAAGTACTCTGAGTACACCAAACATAAAATGTAAAGTTACTTCTCAGCACACTAAAGTAAAAAAGCTAAAAATTAAAGGAAAAAAAAAACCCCTTCAAAACCAATCAAAATAATAATACAAAAGATACGATTGCATATAAGGGAGAAAACAAGAATGACAGCTGATTTTGCATCAGAAACAGTATAAACTGGAAGACAGTGGAGTAACATCATGAAATGCTGAAATAAAAGCTCCAAGACATTGCTGGAAATATGTCAGTACTTACGGTAAGATAACAACATTTGCAAATAAGGTAAGAATTTGTGCTCAGAAGACTAAGACAAAAAAAATTCTAAAAGTTTGCAGGAACTTTGGGTTGGAAATACATACCTAAAGAAAAGGATGAGCAGGAAATAACATCAAAAAAGACTGGTGTGGGAGCTTTATGTAAAAGCTTCCTCCTTAATTTCCTAACAAGTCTAATGTTTCTCAGAAGAAAACCCAAAGTTCTTACCTGGCATCACATTTCCCTCCTTCTCCAAACTCAAATAGCTCTCTGCCTTCAGTTCTGGCAATTTTATTATTTATTTATTTATTTTTTAAAATGAATTCTGTGCAAAGCATTAAAAACTCACCAACCTTGTATTCCCTCTCAAGTTTTTGTTTGAATGTTACCTTTTCTAGTGACACTTCCATTATCCACCAGAGTGAAGACTTGTATCTTTCACCTCTAATCCTTCTCCCACTTTTCTGGCATTTTCTGTCTCATAGTCAGTTATTGTGTTTACAGTCTGCTTTCCTTTGATGGGTCACATCACAGGAATGATGGTTCACTGAGCATTTCTTAGTGTTAGCACACAGTATAGTGTGGATAGTCAGTAAATGATGGTTGAGTGAGTGAACCGGCATCAGTTCCTCTTGGTCTTTGGTGTTGTAAACTCTAGAGGGAGAGGTAAATTGGGTGGTAATTTTTGTTCTGGGAACATCATAACTTTGGGACAATCTGTTATGTGCCAGGCTGAATCCTCATGCATCTTAAGTGTGCTCTGGTTACTGGTGGGAACTATTTCCCCTCCCTATCTGCTGCGGATCAAATTGGTTGTATGTCCATACTCCCCATTTTGCATGACAGTACTGTGATTCACTTAGACGTCAGAGTCAGATGCTTGTCAGCCTCCTACAATCCCTCATCAGTCTATGGGCTTTGATTTCCCAGTAACTTCTCTGTCTGTCACCATCTATAGTCATTTCCCTTCACCAAAGTCACAGTCACCATCACTCCTTACCTGGCCCAATGCTTGGCCTTTCTCCATCGCTTGTTCCCCCTACTTCAAGCTGGAGTTACATGGCCAGAGTGCAACTACATTATCATCGTGTGATAGATCTTCAGAGCCACTGATCCTGTAAATATTTTATTTCCTTTGATGATGGGATGAGATGAGAACTGTAACCACGCTTTACTAAAACTCTGCCTGAGTCCAGAGTATTTCTATCTAAATATATCTAGGCCTAGGCCTGGCAGCTTCTAGCCTCCATACACTCTAATCTTTTGCAAGCTCTGAACCTTAAAGGCTTCAGCTTTCAGCCTCTAGCTTGCTAACTTAGGCCTAGAATGTTTTCAGCCTCTGGACTTACTGCTGAATAAACTCATCCTTTCCTGTTCTTTCTGAACTCTGGCTGGCTGGTTCAACTCAGCTGTTCTGTCTCAGAAATCCTCTCCATGATGACTGAGTTGAACTGACTTCTCTTGGCTTCTTACTGAATTGGTCTTCTTGGGGAAACTGCTTCTGAATTCCATGAATTGCACGGCACTGACCTGCCTGCACCAAACTCAACGGAATTGTACTGAACTGTACTGACTGCATGAACTCCCCTGTGTTCCTGTGCTGTACTCCTGTCTAACTCTCCCTGTGCTGCTCTTAAGTAGTGTTATCTTCCCTGTCTATTCTCATGAGAGCTGGGTGTTTCCTATTGCTGACTCATTCTGTCAATTTTTTCTCTGATTTGTCACTTTGTCTGTCCCTCAATTAAACATCATTATTTGGGATTAAAGGTGTGCACTAAAGGCGTGTTTCTATTCCAGCCAGAGGCATTAAAGGAATAGACTGGGGTTCTGTTTGTGTTCCAGCTGGAGCACACAGATCTAGGTCTCTGGATGTGATCTCTTCCCAAAGTTGCCATGTTGTTGCCATTAAAAATCCTCTACAGATCCACTTCCTTCTGTGATTCTACTGTTAGTCTCTTCAGACTGTTTTTTTTTTTTTCTCATCAAACTGTCACAAGTAGAGATGCTTTATGAGCAGTTCCCCTATTCATACTTCTGCTTAAGGATCCTATCACACACAGTTTCCTGAAACCAAAGAAGGCCTCATGCCTTTATGCATCAAATTTTGGCACTCAGCCTGGGAGTTATAGGAAGCTGCCTCTTACAAGCAGGATGAGCTTTCATAGCACTGCCATGTCTATTTCATCCCACCTGCTATGTCTCTCATGGCACAGTCTGTTACTGTATGGCGATTACTTAACTCATGCTCATTGCTACATAACTACATCTTGAAAACACTGTGTTGTAATTGTTTAGTTGTCAACTAAGTAGATAGTAACCCATGAGTGCTTTTCTATTTAGTACATACTTTTTGAGAACCTACTATGGGCCAGGTACTCTTTGTTGCTGGATATTCAGCAATGAACAAAGTAAAGATGGACAGATGTTCTACTCACATGAAGCCAGTGGTGTCAGATTCTTTACCCCACATCATTATCGACTCTGTCCTTAGTACCTATCCTGGTACTTTGAAATTATTTGAACAAACACGGACTTTATCTCTCTTCTCCCTTCTGATCTTTAACTTTTGCACATAAGTGATTCCTCATGGTGAGGTACAACAGTAGGATAGACACATGGGTCTCTCTGGTGTAGGAGCCTTGGACCAGGAGGCATGGTGATGAGTTTAACTCACTTTCAATAATCTTTTTGTGTCAGGTGCCTGATGAAGTTTTGTTTGTTTGTTTTCAAGATCTGTTTCCTGGTGTACTTCACTGAGCTTTCTTCTATGGATTTATTTTTCAGGATCTGTAGCAATAGAAATGCATATAAGACGGCTTGCTTATGTGTTCAGGAGATCCATCATTTAGCAAACACCCTTGCCATTCACCTGTCTGATCTTCTAATTTTTTCACTTTCACTTTCCTTCACTTCTCCAGGCACTTTTCTCATACCTATTGCTTTGTTCCAGGTTGTCTTGCCCATGTGACCTATAAAAGACCCTCTGTCCAAGGAAAGAGTGGACACCAAGGTCTGACCAGCCTCTGCCACAAGTTAGCCTGGAGAGTCCTTGGTTGAATGTCTGCCAGCTTGGTGGCCTTGGTTACTTAAGGGAAACTGTTGACACTTTGGTTGGGCTCTCTGAAACCTGGATAAGCACACACTCTGCCTTCTCAAATCATGAAACAAAAGTCTCTTTACTTACCTTGTGCTCTGGAGTGACTTGCAGATCGTAGTTCATGTGGTCTCTTCCAGATAGTACTTGTTTAAGTTATTTAAGGCACTGCACAGGTACGTTATTCTTTTAAACTGATTTAGTGTGGTCTTTCCTGGTTTGTCACAGTTCCTGTGCATTATGCTTGTCACCTATTCCTGAAACATGATTCCTTCTTACTACTCATACTCTCACTATGTATTTTCAAGTTTTCTTAATAAATGTCAAAATTTCACCAAATCATGTAGAATTATCAAGGCTATTATGATGAACTTGTGTTTTGTTTTTGTTTTGTTGTTGTTATTGAGACAAGCTCTTCATAGCCCTGACTGGCTTGGAACTTGCTATGTAGACCAGGCTTTTGAACTCATAGAAATTCTCCTGGCTTGGCCTCCTGAATACTGAGACTAAATCCATATACCAATACTCCTGGCCTATTATGAACTTTGGATGTTAAGAACAATGGATTTCAAGAGGGACGCTAAATTGAGAGAAGAATACTCAGAGTACTGATCCCTCCACTCGGTGCTTGCTTGACCGGTATGCTCTGGTGAGGAAAACAAAGGAAGAACAACAAAAGAAAGTGAAAGATCACACTCCCACTTAAACCTTCTGAAACCTACTTTCTTTGTCTCTTTCTCTCCCCACCCAACTTTTCCCTCACACCCACTTTTACTTCTTTTATAGCTCCCATGGCTGCCTACTTGCTTCAGGGCCCTTCTTGCTATAAGTAGCTCAACTTTAACAACAATAATCCCTCAAACTACTATGCCAGATGATGGCTCCAGTGATGGGGGTTTAAACCACAGGTTAGAGCTGGCAGAGTGCAAATATTTAGACTTGTCTCAAATTTCAGAGCAGCAGAAAGTGGCAGCATCTAATCTAGTCTTCTCTTAGGCACCCACTGCCCTGGGTTATCATATCTGCGCTGATGTGTTTATGTAATACTTGACCCTCAACAATGGGGAACAGTATTTAAAGGCAGGGTGGGAAATACAAGGATAGCCAAATAACTAATTTTAGTATAACTAAAAAACAAAATAGAGTTGAGACACTCCTTTGAAAGCCTTTCTTGAGGACTAAGACCCAGAGACACAAATGGAATGAAAATGAGTCAATAATGCCAAGCACTTTCTAGGAATATTCTGAGGTAACCAAGAGGTTTGTTTTGTTATAGAAAAGGTCCTGATCTAAAGTAGGGTGTGGTGGTTTGAATAGGAATGGCCCCATAGGCTCATAGATTTGAATGTTTGGCACCAGGGAGTGGTACTATTAGGAGGTGTGGCCTTGTTGGAATAGGTGTGGTATTGTTCGAGAAAGTATGTCACTGGGGCTGGGCTTTGAGGCTTCAGATGCTCAAGCTAAGCCCAGTGTGTGTCTTTTCCTGCTGCCTGCAGATCCTGATGTAGTGCTCTCAGCTACCCCTCAATCACCTTATCTGCACATGTGCTCCTGTCTACCTATGTGCTGCCATGCTGTGCTTTCCACCACGAAGCCCCAATTAAATGCTTTCTTTTATAAAAGTTGCTATGCTCACGGTGTTTATTCACAGCTGTAGAACACCAACTAAGACATAGAGGATGCAGGAAAAAGTAAATCGGATTGAGAAGCATCATCATAGAGATGCTGCTTTCCACGAGCCCTAAGATGTTACCTAGAAATGATGCTACAGCCTTTCTAATACAATGAACGACTCCTGAAATTAAAACACCCTGTTCTTTAAGAGTCTGTTGGTAAAGGGACTCAGTGAAAGTGAAAGTCTATTGGAAGAGGCAGTGATCTGTGTCAGGAAGTGCTAGCTTTCTGTCTAGCGGTGGTCCTTTGAAGAGATTGTGAGACAGTGCTTTTCTACTCTGCTCCACATTAATAGTCTTGTGTAATATGGAGAGGTAGTAGAAATGCTTACTTGCGGACAAGGCTTGCTCTTAGGATGGGCTCCAGTCTTTTCAATGCCATCAGGGATTAATTGTTCTTTGTAACAAAAACGTAGGTGATCATAAGTGCCTGACCCCTTGGTACCTTTGGTGGACTGTGTCTTCTTACACAGTCTGAAGGACTAGAGTCCTTGGCCGTTTTCTCTCACTGGAACTGACATAGTCACAGCTGACAGCCTGATGTATAACTGGGCAACCTAAAAGCTTGGCAGTTATGGGTTGTATTATAGAATTCCTTTTTATTCTATTTTGGCCAACTGGGGTGCCTATAGCATTGCCAACAATTCATGCTGTATCTCCACAGGTGTAGATCTCAGCTTAGTGAGTAGGCAGCCTGGCCTTTGAGAGTAGATGGCTGTGTCTAGATGCCTGAACAGTCACAGGCGGTTCCGTGAAGAGTCTCCCTACATGACCCAGGAGGCTTCGTTGTCCTCCTCTTCTTCCTCTTCGCTTTCTCCTCCTCATCTTCCTTTCTCTTCCTTCTATGTCTCTTTCTCCTTCTTTTTGGAATTTTTTTGAGACAGAGGTTCTCTGTGTAGCTTTGGCTGTCTAGCACTCCCTCTGTAGACCAGGTTGACCTCCAGTCCAGAGATTCCTATGCCTCTATCTCCAGAGTGTTGGGATTAAAGGTCTGTGCACCAGTACCACCACCACCTGGCTTGCCTCAGCTTCTTGGTTGTTGTCTGTACAGGTTTTCTGATTATTTTTAAGTTATTTAAGTCATGGTTTGTTTCCTGTCATTCAGTATGTACTTGTTTAGACTCGATTTTTAGCTACTTCTGGTCCGACACATGGCACAGCAAGAGATTAAAAGCAAAGGTGAGAAGAAACACTGCTGCCTGATTCTCAGGCTGGAAATGTGCTCTCTGTGAATGGAAAGATCCAAGGACAACTGGTGATAGGGACAAAGATTTGGACTAGCTTGGAGGAGATCCCTGTAGCCATGATTCAGGGGTTTGGGGGAGGTGAAGCAGAGAAGGGAAGAGGACATCCACAAATCCTAGGCGCAGACCCATTTCCCTGTGGACATTCTGACAGATTATCACAAGCATTATGTTAATGAAAGTGCCACTGGCCAATTGGAGGGGAGAGTTGCACACACAACAAAAGGCCCCAGATGCTAAGGTGCCCTTATCTCTAGAATCCCAGCAGTCCATAGCCTTAGGCCTCCCCAGACCTGTATTCACTGGCCCTTATGCTCTGCTCTGTCTGTGGTGCAAACAGCTCTCCACTTAACTGGAAACACATTCCATTTCTGTGTCACATGTTGAACAAGAAACTCAAAGTAGCTTATGCACATACAAGAAAACACAGATACTCAAACTCCATCTCTCCTAAAGTGGCTTGGTACACACTGCATCGTGGACTTTTTCCTTTATAGTTAAAAATGGACCTTGAAGATCACAGCCATTGGCTGTGCAACAAGAAATTAGAATGGGGGTAACTGGAGATATGAAGGCTGTGGCACTTCCCTTACCCAGCAAGCTTGAGGACAAGGAATTGTAAACTGCCTACTTCTGTTCAGAATTGGAAGTCTTTTAGGGAGACCAATTAAGTCTTTTAGAAGAGCAATTCATTTTTAAGAACATTATCTGGAAAGTAATTCTTTTTCTGAGGCAGGGTCTTACGTAGGCCAGGCTGGTCTCAAACTCTCTGTATAGTCAAGAACGACCTCAAATTTCTGTCCTCCTGCTTCTACCACCCAAGTGCTGGGATTAAAGATGGGTACCACCATTCCTATAGTCCTGGGGGTGGAACCCGGGGCTTTGCGAGCCAAGCAAGCATTCTACCTAACTGAGCTACCCCCAGCCCCTTCTTTAAGATTACTTAATAGAAAAATACAGATGTATTGCTTCTGATAGCCTCAGCTTTCCCATCTGTAGAATGGGAAATACCATCTACAGCAAAGGGGCCCCTGAGGACTAAGGGTGATGGAAAGTGGCCAGCATAGCTCTCTGGCACACCATGAAGCCTCAATATGTAGCATGATGCTGGTGTTGGGGGAAGTGAAGGATGGTGAAGGCTTTCATGAAGTTCTATGATTCTCCTCTAGATGGGGGCAGGAGTCAAAGAAGAGAACTCTGGCTTGTCCCTGGGGAACTGTGATCTTCAGGTTTCTGGGGACCCCAGAACTTGCTGCCCCGATGATGCAAGGCCTTTGAGATGAAGGAGGCAGCATTCTAGAGCTGGAGGAGTCATTTAGTGTCAACCAGAGAGGGTGGAGGCCAAGGAAGGACAGTGTCTTCTGCCGGTAGCAAATGAACAGGCATCCACAACTGTGGAAACCCTGCCGTCCCTGCAGTGAGGAAAGTCACCCCTCCCACTCCTAGGTCTTACCTTTGAGCCTCACTTGCTGCTGGCAGAGAGGACGGGAGGCTGTGATGTCACAGAGCTGGGAACCAGGGAATGTTGGTGGCAGGGGTTCTGGACTGGACCATCAGGTGGGGAGGAGAGAGGCTATTGTGATCTGCTGACCCTCCCTATAGTGGTCCATCCCTCTGTCCATGGTGCCACCACGCTGTCACCCTCAGGGCATCGGAGTGCAAGTTCTTCTGTCTCTGGAACACTCTGAAGGTGTCAGACCAGAAGGGGGCGCTATAGCACTAGCTGCAGAAGCCCTGGGAACAGGGTCTGTCTCCTCAGGTCTCTGGCTATTAACCTCAGGTAGATGGACTTCATGCCTCAGTTTCTTTCTCCTTTTTAAAAAATAGGAATAATAGGTATGTGTCCTCTATATTTTTCAGGGTGAAATGACAGCGTGATAAACACTGGGCAGGTGTGTAGCTTCTGTAGTAACAATTCCATAGAAGGGGAACATTGATGACAAGTAAAAGGAAGTGACATTTCTTCCCAGCCTAGCTTCCAGAAAAAGAGGAATTGATTCTTAATGGATTCCTGGAAATTTTCTCACCCTATTGGGTGGGCTTTCAGTTCCTTCATTTGGAATATTTTGGTGCTATTTAGGGAAGTCACATTAGGTTAGAACTCTATTGGTGTTGTCTTTGTATGTGTATAGATGTCATGGTACAACAGAAGGAGAAAACAAATGCAACCAGTGTTTGGGGCTATGTGCTGGTGGGATGTGGGGATTAA